AAACAATTATACGCGCACATATCAATATAACACTTTGGAGTCTCCCAAATAAAATTTTGTTAACAGGAATGTTTTCCTAGCAGTCTGTTTCTGCCTGTAAATCTTTCACACAACCATTGCAGCATCCCCATGGTCACAAGATCAAAATTCAGACACTTGGCAACTGACTCATATTTATGGTGGTTGCAATGTCCCGGTTCCAGGGGTGAAATGCTCCTGGTTCGGACCGGATCGCCCGATCCGGTAGTGATGGAGGCGGGTGGTTCGGAGAACCGGTAGCAAAAATCCCTGCCCCCCCAATTGCCCAGCTGAGTTGCGCAATCATCAGAGGTTCCGTTTTGTGACCCTCTGACCATTAAAGTCAATGGGGAAGCCAGATTCAGTTAATAACCGTGTTACTAATTTAAAAACTGCAGTGATTCACTTAACAACTGTCACACGAAAGGTCATAAAATGGGGTCTGTGAAGAAGTGCTTAACACATTGTAAGCCACCCTGAGTCTCCGGAGAAGGGCAGCATATAAATCAAATGAAAAAAAAATAAAAATAATAAAATAAAATAAAATAAAAAGTGGGCCAGCAAGGCAAGGCAGGTGTTGGGGTGTGCGAGGCCTGGCTGCAACTGTCCGAAGGTAAGTAGTAGGGCAGCTCCATCCCCACCCTAGCTTAATTTTTACCCATGCACCTCAGTCCACCCTGTGCACCCTGGAGTGGGTGGGGTCTTAATGATGGCTTTTTTTGGGGGGGGGGGTTAGGGCCTATATTGGGTGCATGTGTAAAAATCAAGCTAGGGCTTATTTTTGGGATAGGTTTTATTTTCAGGGAAACATGGTAATTTTTTTTCTGCTAAACCTACATATGTCTAATTCACCAATGTACATTTGATACTTGCAGTAAAAATAAATATTCAAAGATTAGTCACTAAGAACTATTTACTTGTTGTGAATAAATAATAAATCATTCGTTTTCAATGTTCTTCTTTAAGAAGAAAACACTCTGAATGCATCCTGTAAACTCCGAATTTGTTCAGAATTGCTGCTGAAACCAAGAACTGGAATTTCTGTTTGCCTTATTATGGTTTGGTAAGTAATTTCCTAGTTAAACAGTTCCCTTGATTGCCTTGGCATTCTTTCCTCACTTTTATTATGCATCTAACAATCATTGGTATTGCATTTTCAGATTTTAAAACGGATGAGTAGAGGCCGCAAATCACACCAGTGCCCTTTACTAACACGACTAATTAATTACGCAGAAGTAATGATAACATGGCAATGTAAATTATGTAAAAAGCTATCAAGATAGTTGGGGTTATGATTACAATGAACATTGAGAAACATGTCATCTGTCTAAATGCACACCCAGTGGCAACATCTAATGTGTCCTCCTTTTGACTAAGGAGGAACACGCCAAAAAACACATTTCTGCAGTTGATGTCAGGTCCAAGCAACTGAGAATGACACTTGGAGTTATTTCTGAATAGTTGCTTTCTGCCTACCAACCGAATCTTGCCAGACTAAAGCAGTTAAGTAAAATAAGTATAGATATTTACATATAGACAAGGAGAGAAGCAACCTAGACTAAGAAGAAATTTCCTGACAGAACAATTAATCAACGGAACAACTTGCCTCCAAAAGTTGTGAATGCTCCAACACTTTTAAGTTTTAAAGAAGATATTAGATAACAATTTGTCTGAAGTGGTGTAGGGTTTCCTGCCTGAACAGGGGGGTGGACTAGAAGACCTCCAAGGTCCCTTCCGACTCTGTTATTCTGTTCTATTATAAGGAAGATCTTAAACAGGGTTTTACCAAATACTCATATTTGGCACAGGATGTGGGATAATATTAGAATATATTATATGAATTGCTAGGGAGGGTCTAGCCTTGTTCTCTTCCCACCCATCAGACATTCCAAGCTCCATTGTCTCTTTGCTCTCTGTGAAAGAGCCCCTCCCTCCTGCAACTGTGAAGACTATATTCCTTCACAGAAGTGGTATATCCATCTATAATATGAATGCCAGCTCAATATGATTGTACTTAAGACCTTAGTGTGCTACGAAATGAAATAGGTTGATATTTTTTTTTAAAAAAAGAATCTGAATATTTTCTTTTATTTTATATATTGGTTGGATTATAAATTTAACCTTCTGGGTGGAGCAAACCGATGATATAAGAAAATAATGAATGCTAAGATCATTGAAATGCAAAGCAATTCAGAAACAGAGTTGCTTCTAGGCTCATGCTCTGCTCTCTAGATGCACTATTTCTAGTTATCAACATTGCTTTAATAGATTTGCATTCATACATAAGCAGTGGTGGGATTCAAATAATTTAACAACAGGTTCTGTGGACGTGGCTAGGGGGTCATGTGACTGGGTGGGCGTGGCTAGGTGGCATTCGGAACAGTTATTGTTCCAAATGCCAATATGTAAATGACTTAGAATGCTTAACCATCACTTAACATTTGCTGGATCCAACAAGAAGCAACATTAACAGAGAAATTATTGTCGACCTGCATAAGGAGATGCCTCATTGCTACTCTTGCGAACAAAATGAATATACATATAAGATTTCCAACATTGTCAATGATTTTAGAGACATAGTAAAAGAAGAAAAGTATTCCTAAACACAGATGTTCTGATGGACTTGATCCTGGAAAGTCCACAGCTGGTGCTTATTCTCCTACCACTGCTTCCTGTAACTCTGCCTAGGAAAACCTTACAATGTTGTGGAAGGGCCTGTTACCCCTGCTTTAGGTTTTAACTGCTGCACTAGCTCTTCTCGCCTTCTTTCAGGCATCCCATTAGATCTGGTGGCACTTTGTGCTCTCTCTCTCCTCCATTCTTCTGCTTCCTTTACATCCTTGACTTGCTTCTCTTTGCTTCTCTGCCTACAAGGACTTTCTATTTGTAGTCAGGTTTCCCAATCCCTTCCACTCTTCATTGGTACAGACCTCAACAGTCTTGACTTAATTTTGTCTTGCGTAGCCCATAACAATACTTTTTAAAAAGAAAAGTAAGTTAAATCTTGAAGTCCCATTTCAAGGTAACTATCTAGTACTTGTTTGAACACTCTCTTGAAGTTAGCTGAGCTATCTTGATAGACAACTATCTAGCTAATTCTATTAGATGCTGAGCCCAATTTGCTGAAGCAGGAGAAATCTGTCTGAAAATCGCTTAGTGCTACAAAGATACCCCAATAGCCCAGTCCAAATTTCCTCAGTCATTCATTGTTTGTAAGAGGCCTCCTTGTAGACCATGAAATAAGTTTCATATACATGTTACCGGCAATGTGTGAAAAATTGACATTGTATAGAGTGCCTAGGAAATCTATAGAATGTGTGATGTTTTACGCAAATGTCTGTGTTATTTTAATATGTGACATACCTTTTTTAGTATGTTTTTTTTAGTTTAGAGGTGGGGAATTGTGGTGGGTGGGAGTGTGTTTGGGGATTATGTGTGTTGGACCTGGTCTTTGGGTGTTAAGTGAATTTCGTTGTATATGTATATTGTGTATACACATACAATGACAATAAAGTTTATTTACTTATTTATTTATTTACTTTCTCTAGGCATTGTATATAATACCTAGGCATTATGCAGAATGACAAGAACTATTTAGGCAAAGCCTGAAAAGAGAGTAATGAAAAGGATTACCCTAACCTGAACTCTAACCCTTTATTGAAAAGATATATATGAAAATGAAAAAAGACATGCAAAATAAAGTACAGGACTTTTTTCTGAAAAAAACAAAAAAAACACAAGTGAAAAAGACCCATATTGATCTACTTGTTGCAACAAGGGAGGCTAGAATGACATTTTAGTGGGAGTATTTTATACCTTGGTGGTTTGCCTTTTGGCATTGCTTAAGTTGCCTAGGAAGCATTTCATACTTTGACATTCCCTTTTTGGCATTATACAGATTTCCTAGGCATTCTATAAAATGATTAATTTTACACACTGATGATAACATATATACAGAAATGTGTATTTATGATAAACATACATTAGAACCTCTCTTGACCAGTTCTATTTCTGTTTAACAAGGCCCCTTCAAAATGCTCAAGATGCATACTATGCAAAGCCAGTCAAGTTGTACAAGAGGCAAGGCCTAGCCCCTGAATCACAGAAGCCTCTTCCCGTCATTCAAGCAAAAATACAATAGTTAATTAAACAATGCACATTTTGCCTCATCACACTGACTAATAGTATGACCAGCCTAATAATAAAGAATAAATGAAAAGAAATCAAATTCTATGACATGATTTGAAGTGACTAAAGATCCAGACTCTTAGAGGTAAAAGGAAAGAATATAAAATTGGTTTATTTGGTCAAACTTAAAATAGATATTGTTATCTCTGGTAACCCTTAATGTCCTTTTGGTGACACCAGAACTGAAACAATAGCTTTATGGATTTGTTTATATATAGGAAAAAAGACATGGGAAGAAAATCATTTGTTATATTTGAGATAACAAACGTAATATGATACATTACTAAAATCGTTTATACCTGTCATCATAAAGTCATTCCTTTTGTATATTTCTTTTATTTTTCTAATAATTTTTCTGTTCTATTTTTCTACTTTTCCACCTTTTACTTTTTATCGTTTATTGTTTAGTTTGTCTTAGTTCTGTAATTAAAATATTTTATAAGATTACTGTCAAACAAGAAAAGTTCTTCATAAGCCATTAGCACAACAACTGCAGAAACATGCGTTAAGCCCAGAGTGATAGGACTAGAAGGAAGGAAGGGGAACAGATAGCCTTGCAAGGTTCTGATACTATAGCATCTTTCAATACAGTATAGTTCTAATCTTTTTGTGAAGTTGGTTTCCTGGCCTACCTTGTAGGGTGTAGGGTTGACATTCCAGCAGCATGAGAAAACAGTTGCATACTGCTTGTTATTGGTGTGTGTGTGTGTATGTGTGTAGGTGAGAAAGTCATCCACATCTGTATTTGACATAACGAAAACAGGATGCATGCACTCCATTTCTACACCACTAACCTCCAAAGAACTCATTGATATGGTTGATCCAGTTTCGCTTCTTGCTAGTCCTGTGCTATCGTCCATCTCAGAAGCTATGAAATTCTTTACAGCTGTGCGAGGTTCAAAAGGCAAGTTCTGCATGTGTTCCTGGGTGGGGAGATGTTGATCTAAACTCATATTGAACTGGTCCATTACATTTGGGTTCATACTAAAATCAGGATTAACTTTGTAGTGCAAAAGCCTTTCATGAGGCAAGGTCTCCATGCCTATATTCAACTTGCTGTCATCCTTCAAAGATGCCTGTGTGTTCACTGAACCTCTGGGCATGACAATGTAGTCACTATCCATCATGCGATCCTGAGGGTGGACTACATCCATGTCTGCACCTCTCAGGTTGTCATCAGTACATAAATAGACAGTTCGCCGTAGCTCAGTGTTGTCTTTTTTAAGACACTGGTTAGCTAATTCACTCATGCTCATGGGCATATGCATGCCTCCCGATTGCTGAATGATCACTTTAGAAATTATATTCCCGGGCAATGTGGAATAGTTCATTCCTTCAGGGTTGACTGTCTTCTCATCTTCATCATCATTTAGGGAGATTCTAGATAGGGTGCCTGTTATCGTAGCTGCTCGGCACGGCCCAATATCCTTATGGAGAACTGTGAATTAAAGAGCAGGAGCACAAATTGATAAATGCCTCCAAAATTAGAAGTTGGGCACCAGCTGAAAGAATGTCTTTAACTCATATTGGTGCTGGATCAACCTTCTTCAACTTGGCCATAGATGAGTGGAAACTACAATTCCTGAATTTTTATCCTGCTTTCAGCCTGGACAAAGGAGGGGGCCAAATTGAAGGAGGCTGAAATGTTTTAAATAAAGCAATTATGACATTATATATATCAAAGAAAAGGACAATCATTTAGGATTAAATTGTGAGACAAAGGAAAATGATTTATTTTAGGATTTACTCCATTTTCCCCCTTCCCTCTTTTCCTTTTACAGTAGCTGAAATCAAGAGTAGTCTTGATATTATAACATGTATAGTTACTGAGAGTTATACGTGGTGACAAATTATTCTATTAGGAGATGTGTGATTGCTTTTCTATTTTCAATTAAAAAAAAACTATTTGCCTTGAAGCAAGGATATAGATGAGAGGGACTAGACCATTTCAAGTCTCCTTGTAATGTAATTCTTAACGAAAATGGATAAAAATCCATTTGAGAAAATGATCATTAGATTTTTCCTAAGTGCAGATGTCAAATCGCTTCAGCCAGCCACCTTTTATTAAATCTTTCATTTAGAGGGTCAGATTTTAAATCTTTAATTTTTAATGATGAAGCCTGGTCCTATTTGCCATAAAACTGTCTTTTTCAATAGAGTGCTTCTCCCTGAACTTTTTGAGCAGTAATGTTTTGGGAAGTAGTATCACATTTCCTTTGGTTTTAAGGAATTGAAATGAATGACTCTGTTCGAAAATCTAGCTAAAAATCACAGTATCATTAAATTGCCAAGGAAGGGAGATAAAGGCATCATTATTAAGTGCAGATGTAATTAACAAGTGTTTATGTTCAAATGAAACTAGGAAAGCCATTTCAATTTAATGAAACAGTATTAATGTATTGTTTGCAGTGATATATAAGCACATTGATAGGAACAATTTACAGTTTGCCATGTAGTCACTGACACAAGAGAAACTCTTCAAGAAACCATCACTAGACTCAATTATTTTGGGTAACCTGCGTCCAATCTCTAACCTCCCCCTCCCTTTTTTTAGGAAAGGTTGTTGACAAAGTGATTGTGCAACAGCTTCAAAAGATTCTTGATGAAGCAGATTATCTGGACCTCTTTTGGTTAGGTTTCAGACCTGGGTGGCTTTGGGAGGCAAACAGCACTGATCATGCTTTTGGATGCTCTCTGTTGTGAGTGGGATGGGGGTAGTGCATTCATCCTTGGTCTTCTTGACCTCTTGGTAGTCTTTGATACCATTTATCATGGTATCCTTCTGGACTGGCTATGGGGATTGGCATTGTTTGGAACTGTATTGTGCTAAGTGCTGGTTCCAGTCGATGTTGATAGGGAGTGTGAAGTCCCACCCTCAGCTCCTACTGTTTGGGGTTGGCACAAGGTTGAGAACTCTGCTCCTGTTTGACATCTACATGAAGCTGCTGGTTGAAGTAATTCATCATGGGGTGAAGTATCATCAGCATGCTGATGATACCCAGTTGTATATCTCTGCCCTTAAGTGAACTAACTGTGGCTGTCCTTTCTTGGTGTTTGGATATGGTGGAGGTCTGGATGGGGAACAATAGTTTTCAGCTCAACCCTGGCAAGACTGAATGGGTTTGGGTTTGGGTTTGGGCGGGTTCAATTTTCCAGATCATATTATTGGTGGAGCTGGATCAGGTTGAACTTACCCCACAATTACCTCACAACTCTTGCTTAAAGAGAAGATAGCAGTTATAGCTTAGAAGGGGCCACCAGGAAGATCTCTGCACAGCCTCATGTTGCCAATTGCACCTGTTCCTGGACAATATTTCCCAGTTGATTTACTGCAGCATGGAACTGCTCTTGAAGAGCATCCAGAAGCTTCACTGGGATAAAATGCTGCAGTGCAGATAGTTATATGTGCTCCAAGTTCTGGTGCATGTTACACCTCTGCTCCACAAGCTGCATTAGTTGCCAGTTAGCTTTCAAGCATAATTCAAGCTGTTGGTAATAAATTATAAAGCCCTAAAGGACACGGGGACATGTTATTTGCAGGACTGCTTCTCCCCTTCTACATCCCATTTTATCAGGTCCAGCATGTTACATGTCTTGTTTATAAAGAAATGCCATCTGATGGGATCCAGGGTAGCCTTTTCTGCTGCAGTCCCTCCCTTTTGAATGTCATTCCTCCCATTGGCTTAGATTAGTTCCAACTTTGCTTGTCTTTCCCTAAAGGCTCTACAACATGGTTTTGCCAAATATGCCTGGGGTTTATGGTTATTGTGGTTTAGAGCCTGCCAAGTGACTATATTTGACTATACTTGCCTGCTTTTTCTGGTTGTAATTTTGATTTTTTTAATCAGATTCTTAACTTGGTTTTAAAAGGGTTATTGTGCTTCACCAATTTTTGTATTTTGATTATTCATTATTTATTTGGTTGTTTTTAATTATGTTGAAAACAGAACCACAAATGTGAGATGGGCAATTGTACAAGTTAAATAAATAAACACATAGAAATAAAATAAATAAAAACTGAAGCTCAGATCTGGCAGATCATCTTCACTCCCTTAGATTTTACTGAAGAACCTGGTGGCCAAGTTTCTATCTTATAGAAAAAGGAACTTTCTACCCGTTTACATTCAGTGCCTTGTGACTAATGAAAATTGGCATTTTATTGAGCTATACCATATTTAATCAAGCGCAGCATTAACTGAATATGGGAAAAATATACATACGTATATGTGGGAGTTATATGGGTTTATGTTTATCAATTGAACTTCTGCTCCAATTCTAAGTACTTTTCTTTCCTAATCATTTCATGCTTGCATATGCAGATGTTTTGATGTATACAGGCTCAGGTGCGCTCTCAGAGAAGTTGTTTTTAAAACCTTGTAGCACCTGACTTTTTCCAACCCGCTTTTAAAAAATGTAGGTTTTCTCATACTCAATTTATACTGTAACACTACGTTTATCAAATTTTGAGCACCTCTTTAGATTTGTAGGCACTTGTGTTGTTAAAAAGGAATCAGGTCATTCAGAAGGATAAAGCTACTTTTAATTTTCATTTCATTTGGTGCTTGGACAGCCTTACCTGACCGACAAGCAATGTCCACATCTTTTTCAAAATCTGTCTGTAACAATAAGCAAAATAGAAGTGAAATGAGACAACTGTTAGCAATCATTAGCTGAAGGTCAAGCTTAATGTGGAACATGACCTAGAGGTGTTATGGAGCTCTCAGACTTCATAACATGTAACATAGTGTGCATCACATCATCATTACACAGTGTATTGAACTGTCACTCTTCCAACCAATAATATGAAATGAAATAAGAAGCACAATGATTTATTGAGTAAAATAAATATTACCGAAGAACAGAAAAGTGTCTGCTCTTGTGACAAATACCAAGAAGATGCTATTGCATCCAGTTCTGACCTCAGTTATCACATTTCCTTCTAATACCTCCCTCACTAAAGCTAAACTACATATTCCTCCTGCATGACCACAGCTAAAATGAGACAACATTAAGTTAGTTTAGAACAGTATTTCTCAATCTGAAAACTGTCACTCAAATTCTCAGCCATTGTGAGAATTAAGACAAGAATGATTGAATGCTCCAGGAAAATTCCAGATTAGAAAAGACTGATCTTTAGGAAGATTAGTGTCAAAGAACTTTTTTTAAACTACTGAAACCATTGTGCAGGAATTTAAAAGTAGTGGTAAGTAGCTATTGGAAATATGGGTATTATTTTTGCTATTAATTGCAGGCTACAACCGATGCCATGTGGATAGAGTTCTATTCTTGTAATAGAAATTTCCCTTGTTTTAATATGCTCCAGAGGTTTCCCCAAATCTCTAGAAATTATCTGAGGAGCATGAAGAAATATTGAGAGTGGAAGGAGAATTCTCATTGCCAGAAGTGTTTATCCCACTCATAGATGGACAGTGTTGGATACAATCTATTGTTTTATTAATAATTTCTTTATTTGTAAAACTTTAACCTACTATTTATTACTAAAACCCAAAGCAGGAATAGAACAAATTAAATTAATTTATGATGATGATTATTTTTTACAATAAATTATTTTAAACCATTAAAAGATCTTCAATGCCACGTAACACATATAAATCTAACATTTGCTTATTATACATCATATATAATTACAGTACAAAATGTAGAACAGAAGTCTTCATGCATGCTTGGGTTTTGGAGGATGCTTAAATTAAAGCTTGGGTATTTGGGATATATTTATGAAACAGGTAAGAAGCTTCAGTCACAGAGGGATGATTGTTCACACATTCCTGGACTGACACACACAAAAAAAACCTTAAAGTGATAACAACTCCATTGGATGCACTATCTGGCACTGGATGACAGAAAGCTTAGGAAATCTGCTAACTAATTCCTTATTTTACATGATGGTATTTATTCAAATTTAATATTGGGGTGTTAATTTACTCATTATTTAACCAATGTGTTCATTTTACTTAATTTTCCTATCTTCTACAACCCATTGAAAGGATGATTCCCATTTATTTCAGATGTAAGAGATATGGCAAAGAAACATTTAGCACCAGTACAGAAATTCAGCAGAAGGCATGCTGTCATAAGAAGACTTTCATGTGATGATCCTTTGCAATTCTGTATCTGCGCACACAGAAGAATCACCTTTATTAAATTTTCAGATTTGATACTGATATAGGCTAATTAAGTTTTTCTGACATAATAACATTTTATCCACGCATTGCATTTCACCTGCATAGCACTGCAGAGATAAATACACAAGCATTTTTAAATCATGGTTTTATTAATCTCTTCGGTACATGTTTTTTGGTTTTGTTTTTAATGAAAGGTGCCTTTTTTCAGTTCTCTTTCACAGTAACTTTTCAACAGGTACTGTAGAAATAGTGAGTTTGTACTGCATGCATCTTAGTCAAACCAATTTGCCCAATATGGAATACAGAAGAGTACTGGAGATTATAGAAAGACTCATTTGTAAACTTGTCCCTTGCAACGATTACAATACAATTTCTGAAATGCACTTTATGATCACTGCACAATATATATACCTCAGAAATACAATGCTTAACGCGTTCTAAGCCGCCCTGAGTCTCCGGAGAAGGGCGGCATATAAATCAAATAAAAAAAGAAAGAAAGAAAAGCTTGAGTTTAAATGAACGGTCACTTTAAAAATCACCTTGTTTTTACCCACAGAAACAGCTACATTTTAGGGAAATGGTCCTCTCTACCTACTGATTATGTAGTTCTTGTACCATTTTTTGGAGGTAGGAAACAAGTATGGGAGAAATGTTCAATTGAACATTTGGCTAAACTGGTCAATTAGTTTGGTGTATATGAGTTGTTTCTTAACAGGCAAGATCAGGTAGTCCACTAAACCAGTGGTCCCCAACCCCCGGTCCACGGACCGGTGCCGGGCCGTGGAGTACCTGGCACCGGGCCGCGCAGCGGCCGGGGGACATGAACGCTGCAGCGCAAAGGCTCCTGGGCCGTGCGCAAAAGCTCCTGGGCCGTGCGCAATGGGCCGTGCGCAAAAGCTCCTGGGCCGTGCCCCCACCCCTGCGTGCGCTCAGTGGGCCGCGGCGATAAAAAGGTTGGGGACCACTGCACTAAACAGTTTGTTTAGTGACCGTTCAAAGTTACAACAGCACTGAAAAAAGTGACTTATGACTGTTTTTCACACTTACAACTGTTGCAGTCTCCCCATGGCCATGTGATCAAAATTTGGATGCTTACAATTTATGTAAGCATCCAATATTTATGATGGTTACAGTTTCCTAGGATCCTGTGATCTCCTTTGGCGGCCTTCTGACAAGCAAAGTCAATGGGGAAGCCCGATTCACTTAACAACCGTATGGCTAACTTAACATTTGCAGTGATTCACTTAACAACTGTGGCAAGTACAGCCATAAAATGGGGCAAAACTGTCTCACTTAGCAACGGAAAGTTTGGGCTTAACTGTGGTTGTAAATCAAGGACTACCTGTACCTTAAATATAGGGGAGTATGTGGCATTTCTGTGGTAAGAATAAGCAAATCCTTTCAAGTTATACTAGGAAGTATATGGAATTATTTGTAATTTTACACACACACAATCACACCCCACTATAGTAATTTTAATGTGAGGGCTAGAAAGTGACCATGAAATCTTTTCTCTCACTCTCATGTACCGGTATTTATTTATTCTTTTTCATTTCAAATTATATGCCACTTTCCCCATCACAAATATATTCAACATAGCTAAAACAAAAATGTAGAACAGTTGACACCCTGTTAAGGAAATCCTGTTAAGAAAGCATCTGACATAATAATTAATACAACATAAAGGGTCAGTTTGCAATATGCAGGATTATAATTTGGAGCCATTTTATAATAATAATGCAAACGAAACACACTTAGCACCTTGAATGTACTATGAATATGTTATGCGATCATTATCATCATCACCATTCATGGTCATCATCGTCATTCTTACAAATGACCTAAGGGTTTTCCCTTTGCCTCTTTTGCATGCAGGAAAATACAGTAGATTTGAAATGCATCAGAAAATGAATCATATTTATTTTTTATATTAGATTTAGAAGGCCACCAAACTCTCCAATAGCTTTGGGTGGCTTATGTAATTAAAATAAAGCAAAAAGTTAAAAAGACAAGAAAATGAATGTCCGGAACTTATAGATTTCTGTAATGCACATCTACGTATGCATTAAGAAATAAAATAAAAGTAATTATATTATATACTGTTTTACTTTCTATTTCAATGCTGTAATTACTGAATATTTTATGATCCTGAATACGGGGCAAGGTGCGAACATTTTCCACCACAAGATGGAAACAAAGAAATAGATCAAATTCTCTTTACTGTCATCTAGTGGTTATCAAGAGTTTTGCAACCAGGCATGTTAGCCCCGATGCACACTATGTCTGCAAATAGTAGTCAAGGATAAATATAAACTAACCATGATTTGAGCATGTCCATTAGGAAATGAACTTGATGAATCTGCATTGATTGGATCTTGGCAGTTTCTCAAACGACATCTAAATGCATCTTGAACCTGGCAAGATATAACAGTTATTTAATATATTTAAAAATCATAGACAAATTATTAAAGCTGTAATAAACAAATTCTTGATTCATCATTATTTTCTCATTTGGTTTCAAATGATGTTTGTAGTGACATTATGATAATTGTATGAACGCAGTAAGCAAATTAGAGCAAATATTTAAATTGGACTAGCACAGGCCTGTGAATAACTCTTCAGAAGAATGTCCCAGTGAGACTTATTCCTAGGGAAGTAGGAATTGGACTAAAGTCACAGATCTTTTGTTCAGTATGCCAAAACTATTTTTATGACTTCCTAGATTAGAACAATAAATGCATCCAGCCTTAATGAGCATAATGGTAAAGGCCACTTAGACAATTAATGGGAAGAAATCCAGCATGTTTCTTTCCATAAATATGGATCTGCATCCTTTACCTGACAACTCTTAAGTACTAACAGTACTGCCAAAACCAACACCAATATAGAAAAACAAATACTATAGCACTGTAGTGCTTTTTTCCTTTTGAGGAAAAAAGCTACCTGAGTGATTCTATCTGAAAAAAATTATTCAGATAAATTCTAAACAATATATTGTGTCTAGGTCTGCGGTGTAACTTATAAAAATATCCCAGCTGTGTTAATTTGTGATACTCATCTGGTCAATCTATACCACAGGTTAATCTAATCCCAGTGTCTAGAGGCTGCAAGGATCTGAATGGAGAGGAACAGGTTAGGGGGAAATCTTAGCATGATGTGTACTTGTGGGTTCAGAAACTGGCTAATTCTGGGACAACACCATCTTTAACAGAGGACAATATTGTGATCCCCCAGAAAGAGCATGTGTAAAATTTGAGGGTGCTCTTGAACTCATAGCTCCTGCTAGTCTAGCAAGTTGAAACTGTGACCAAAAGATTTTCTGGGTGCAGTTGAGATGCTTCTAATTACCTTTCCATCTTATATTGCTTAGGACCTGGCTATCTGAGAGGCTGCCAGCTCTAAACAGAAGCTGTCCACCTAAGGCATCCTTGTAGAAAGTGCTTGCTGAGAGTGTCTACTCCTCATGAATTACAATGAGAGGCATTCAGAGAGGAGGAATCTCTGCCAAAGAACCCTCTTTTTATGCTGTCCTATCAGACATAAGATCTGCACCCTCACACCATTCGGGCTAAATTGGCAGAGGTACCTTGGTGGATGGTTAGTTTTAAGTTCCGAGGATATATGGTGTGATGGTTTGTGATCAGAATATTATGAATATTTAACTTATTAGCAATTATTAAATATTTCCATTTATAAAGCTATGGCTTTATTTTGTTTTATGTTGCTGCTGTGAGCCACTTAAGATAATTGAACCAGTGTAAAAGCAACTACGATAATCAAAACAAATAAAGTGTCATTAAAGATGGATTTTGGTTTCCTCACATTGTATTATCTGCCCACCGAAATTCCTTAGTTATCACATTTCCTCACTTTTTTTTTACTCCAACAATCTAATCTCCATACTCCATGGCTTTGTTCTGGAGAATTATCTCAGTGGGGTTTATTTTTGCTAATCATGTAACAGATGGAACTACAAGCACTCCAGTTGTGTTTACATCCAAATTCCAGAATTCTCAACATCTCTGGATGAATGGCACCAGTTTGAAGAAAACTCACCAGGACTTAATCCGTCGAAAGCTAAAACATGCAGACTTGTGTCTGTTCCACTGACATTCCAGGAAAATATTCTATTTCTCTAGGCTGGACTACGGCTGAAATGGCTACCGTACAAATCTTTCCTGTCACATTTTAGTGACACACACAAGCAATGTAATTCCATCTCACATGAATTTTGGCAGTAAATTTCAGCCGTAAAATGTCATGGACTAGCAGCATCCATTGAGACGGCAGAGCAAATTTGCTTTATTTCACTTGCAGGAACAGGATCATTTTTGAGCTCCTTATAACAATAATATATATTCAGCTACAGCCTGATGAAAGAAGGCGTTATCTCTGACTAGTCAAATGTGCAGAATGATTATCAGGGCTTTTGTCCACAGCATTGTTTTCATAGACAAGCTCTCTCCTTCTCACCATCCATTACTAGTGGAGGGAAACAATGATTTTTATCCCCATGCTTGACTAATCTTTTGGAAAAGGGAAAGGGGAAAAAAAAGCAGAAAAGCAGAAAGGGCTCTAAAGATCCTGTATAAAAGCTGCACAAAAAAAAAAAAAAATATGATGAGGGCTTTTTGTGGTCCGAAGACCATGCTTTAATGGCTCGCGTACAGTAATATGAATATTAATAATAATAATCAAATCCATTTTTTTTTCTGGAGAGGTGAGCTAACCAAGACTGGTCAAAGACATTCTAAGCTAATGTGGTTGCTTCTGACTGCAGTGAACAGCCCAGTAACCCCCAAACTGGAAATTAAAATGATGCTGGGGACGGAGTGAGAACATAATTTTGACTGTCTGTCTCTTTATTGGCCTTTTCCCAGATATCAGGATCAAGCCATCTGCCATACTCTGGGTTTTTATAAAAGAATGGAGCATCATCAATTCTGTCTTGAAATTTATCCCACCCACATTGAGTGAAAATGGGCTATTCCATCCTATTTGGCCCTTTTTCTGTCTCCCTTCCCCTCTCCCAAGATGACATGAAGCTGCAAGATTGTCTCAGAGTGAAAGAGAGAGGGAGGGAAGGAGAGAGAGAGAGAGAGACAGAGAGAGAGAAAGAGAGAGAGAGATGTGCTGAACGTGCGGATACCAGGGAAGTGGTTTCCCTGGCAACAGTAACCAATTCAAAGCTCCTCTTAAAAGTTGCATTCTCTCTTCCCATGTCCGTTTGAAAAAAAAAGTCCATGACATTTAGATACTTAAGGTGTAAGGAGGAGGTGGCACAGTTGGATGCTAAGCATAATTAAAAAAACAAAACAGCAGACAATAAAGAGCATCTCCCTTTATCACCAAACTTTAGGATACGTCAAGTCAAATTAGGTTTGGGGCATAGTTAGGCATTTGATTTTTCTCTTTCTTTAGCAGACATGTAACACACATGGCCACAGTTTACTCTATATGTATAACTGAAAGAAAATACGTGTGAAGTTTGGAAGTCTAAGGTCCCTCTCGTATCCAGTTAACAAGGGAAAATTCTGGAAAGTTCTTTGTTTATTGTATCAGGTAAATCAGGAATTCTGATTTTAAGAACATTCTCATTAATTTCCAAATATTCAGCCAAACTTCTGAATTGTATTGTGAATGTAAGAAATAATCACATTTAACTATAATTGCTGGTTTATCAGGTATGAACATTCACTTGCATATCATGGTTTAGTTTTGCGTAGGAATATAGTCCCCTCCTCAATAAAGAAATATAATAAATTGAATAGAGCTATATAAATTGAGGATTGGTAACTATTTTTCTATTGTGTTTCCTGTCGCTTTCTTTCATTCATTCATTATTAAGTCTGGATAATTTTATTATTTAATTAGTGACCATGCTACCCCTTGGGCTATGTCAAGCTACTTTTTGCTAAAACCTATGGTTGCAAATAAAAATTTAAATCTAAATGTATAGCTACATTTATATTATAATACTGGGTTCACTTTATATTGGATTAGGTCTTGATTGAAGCTACCTTGGGATGAATTAAATGTAAGCCCCTAATTATTTTAGATCTCCTTTTCTCATCCACATATCATTCAAATGATGGATTACCATCAACTACAGTTATCACATCAATACTGTACAACACCATTGATATATTCAACCCTGTACGAAATGTCTCTTATTTTATTTTATAATAGCAAATGGAAGAACAAGGTAGGTCTCTTTCCATAGTGGGATATAAATAAAATAGGTATGTGTGAATGTCCAGATATTATTGCATGACTCCCACTTACACAGGCAATGATGGAATTAGAGAATTGCAATACAGGAATTAATATTATATGGGCATGCAACTTCATGAAATGTAATTTTTCTCTTAGTTGGGTGTTAGGACTGCTAAGCCAATTAGAGAGGGCTCTGAAGAGAAGGAAATAAATAACGGTATAAGATTTTTGGAATGGAGCTTCGGAAGGAAGACAGAACACGCAAAGAACCTCAACTAAGAGACTTTTTGAAAGCTATCAAGTGATCTCAGGGAAGGCGCCATCATATGACAGTATATGAGGGACAAGAAAGGCAAGTGATTTCCCTTGTGAACTTTAGCCAAAGGATTGAGCTGATTTTTTGCAAGGTTATCACAAATGAAGCAGACATATTTCTTCTCCATATATATAGCTTCAGAAGCAAAGCACAGACGTTCTTGGAGACAGCAAGGCAGAGGGTGAGCAGTCTCAATTTGACCTTGCTACCGCTAGGCTATTCTTTGCTGGAGATAAAATTTAGACTGGAAATAGATGATCAATGATGTTTTTGATGCTTTCTATGTGTTATGTTGTGGCAGTGACAGAACAAAACTGCTGTGATTTTTACTCTAAGATTTGACATTATCTATGACAAGTCATTTGATATTCAGATTTATTGTTTTGTCTGCTAGAGGCAGATTCCGTATCTCGCATGGATAAATGACAGGGATGAGATATAGAGTTCATTATCCTTTAATTTAAGTGATTGCTGCTTTCCTGTCTAATAGACTGCAGAAAGTCAAAATAGGGAACTCGCTGTCTAATTCTGCATCAGTTAACAGTGGTGTTCCCCACTGTTCCCCAAGGCAGCATCTTAGGTCCCTCACTTTTCTTGTTCTGTATCAACGATTTATGTGATCAGCTTAAAAGCAATTGCGTCCTTTTTGCTGATGACGTAAAATTATTCAATACTACAGATAATTCTGTTGTTTTGCAAAGTGATCTTGGCTTTGTGTCTGAATGGTCATCTATTTGGCAACTTCAAATTTTGATCAATAATGCTCTGTCTTACATATTGGTAAACATAATCAGAATGTCAAGTGTAAGCTAGGTGGCATTGAACTAGCTGATGACCCTCACTTTGTCAAGGACCTAGGTGTACTTATCTCTGACGATCTATGCTCCAAAATTCACTGTAACAGAGTTGCTAAAAAAGCATTAAGAGTTGTAAATTTAATTTTGTGCAGTTTTTTTTTCTGGAAATATTGTTTTGCTAAGTAGAGCTTATAAAATTTATGCTAGACCAATCTTAGAGTATTGTTCAACTGTTTGGAATCCCCACCATATATCTCACATCAGTACAATTGAGCGGGTTCAGAAGTATTTCACGAGAAAAGTCTTGCACTCTTCTGTACACAATAGAATTCCTTATGCTACTAGGCTTGAAATTTTCACTTTGGATAACTTAGAACTGTGTTGCTTGTGGTCAGACCTAGGTAGTGCATACAAAATTAGACGTAGTAATGTTTTACCTGTAAATGACTTTTTTTGTTTTAATCACAATAATATGTGTGCTAACAACTGCTTTAAACTCAATGTAAATTATTCTCAACTTGACTATAAAAAATATGATTTCTGTATCAGAGTTGTCAAAGTCTGGAATGCTCTATCTGATTCAGTTGTTTCAGCTAAAAATTTTCACAGTTTCAGTCACAAATTGACTTCTGTGGACCTTACATCATACTTAAGTGGTCAGTAGAGAGCGGGTATGCATATGTGCACTAATGTGCCTATTGTCCCTGTCATTGTATTTTTATTCTTTTATTCTTGTTCTCGCTTTTGTTTGACAAATTCTAATAAATAAATCCAACAATATAGGCATGTTTTAAAAAACCGAACTATTTAAGTAAAGCATTTTGAAACCCGTGTACCTTTTTAGAGGGGAAAGAAGCCTAATTAAAGTCCTGCGTGCACAAAATCAGAAAGCAATACATTGGGGGAAGCAAAAACACTTCCGCACATTATGAATTATTTTCCAGATAGAAAGTTACCTAGTGTCAAAACAGATGGCATGGTAGACTCTTTAATTCATGTATATAGAAAGGTGGATGTTAAACACGGTTAATATAAGATTAAATATGTTGGATCTTACATTTTTTTATAGCACCCTTCCATGTGGGCAGGCAAATTGAGAAGCAGTCACTATCATCTGCTTCAGAATATTTGCGTTAAATGTTGTGGCAACATTCAAGAGTTTTGTCAACCAGATGCTTTTAAGCTGTTCTGGACTACAACTCCCATAATCTCTGATGGCTCCCATGCTGGCTGTGGCTGACAGAAGTATAAATAGGGCAGCAAAAGTTCTAAACTTATAGTCACCCAATGGGGATTGGGTTTGAAACCATACATAGAAATTGAAGTTATTCATCATCCTATTCAAAATTTTGAGCCCACTTCGTTTTCTTTGATACGAATTGAAAATACAATTTTGGTAGGACCAATAGACAAATTATAGGTCTGACAAATCTATTTCCCTTTTTTTAAAAAACAAGAAATTTAAGTTTATTCATCAGACTCAAAATTAAAATGGTAGCAAATGAGATTTTTATATATTTAGAATTCAGATCCTAGGTGCTCGTGGTCATATGCTCAACCCAAGAATTAGTTTCCATCAGGTACAGTTTCTTATACCCGATGGAACCTGATTCATGCATAGGACTGCTTTTTTATACTCTTTTTTATAATGTATAGTCTTTTTATAGATCTAATACACTGGCAGTGAAAATATTTATTGATAACTTACTGTGAGTTAGAAATACTTGAGTCTCTATTATCAGACTTCAGAAGAACTGCCAACTATCTACCAATCCATCTGCTGTTTATTGAAACCTGAGATTGCCCAACTATTTATTTCCTCAGGACAAAGAAGCCTCCATCTAATAAACAATGCACTGCCATGGCAAGCTGAAGCTGGCCCAAAGGGTTCAAGCATGAATGTAATGACCACAGCCAGTGTGGCTGCCAGAGGTATCTCGATGCCTCCTCTTTTACCACCACTATCTCTCAATGATAGACTATTGACCGTGTGGAAGACTGTTTTTTTTCCACTCAACCACCTGCAGCCATTTGTCCCTTAATTGTCCCTTAATTCCCAGAATGAAAGGCTATAAATACAGGGCTTCTGTATGACTTGGAGATGAGGTGGGGCAGACCCCATTTTCTTGCCATTCTATCTTGTGGCTGTGTATTTTTTCTTTTCTTTCTGTTTATGGAATGGTCTCTCAGTGGGCCAAGAAACAGGAAAACCCCAACTACTATAGGAGAAGCCACACTGAATTCAAGATAGAATATGCGACTCCTTGAATTGAGAAGCAAAAAAACCCAACAACTCAGTACACTTTTCAAGATTTACTCATGAAAGCAGAAAATGTGATCTAATGTATGCATGGTCAGCTGGAAATGAACAGTGTCTCTGGAGACGGAGCTGCCTGTTCCCAGCAAAAGCTTGGAAGAGGAAAACCAACCCATTTGCAAATAATCTGCACTGCTTTCAGTGAAGACAACAACACTTCAGGCTGCGAGAGGCTGACATGTGTTAGCAGATAAACTACAGGAGGTGTCGCTTTTTCTGCTATCATAGTTCTGCTATTGCTCATTGTGGATCAACACTGAGTACAACAAGAGTTTCAGTATGTGGGACTGAAGCCTTCATTTCAAGGATAGTTAGACTGGTCAGATGTTTAGGAATAGCACTTATATACCACTTCACAGTGCTTTACAGCCCTCTCTAAGCGGTTTACAGAGTCAGCATAGTGCCCCCCCCCCAAACAATCTGGCTCCTCATTTTACCGACCTCAGAAAGATGGAAGACTGAGTCAACCTTGAGCTAGTCAGAATCGAACTCCTGGCAGTGAGCAGCGAGTTCGCCTGCAATACTTCATTCTAACCACTGCGCCATGGCTCAGGAAGCATTTTGGGTTGTTGTAAAAATTTCATAGCGATAGAAGATTTGGAAGACAACACCAGGAAGTGGTTTCTTACCTCCCTTCGGAGAATGCAGTGAACCATGACAATGACCAACCCTTGCAATGAATCAAATACAGCAAAGAGTATCTGAAATAAAATGGACCGCTTGTCAGTCATTGCCAAAACTGCAGACATCCAAGTGAGAGCCAGGAGAGGTAGAACAACACAGGAACTCCACAGCGATGCCCTAAACAGGGGCAGAGAGGAAAGAAAACAGTGACAAGAAGATTGTAGGACTATTGAAACAACAAAAACAAGCCAATTTTAGGAAGACAGGCATATCCAAATATATAAATCTTACTTAAGGATGGCAACATTTTTTTTTAATGTGAAAACCCATGGCATTATATAATTATAGAAAAGCTGACATTGTAAAATATTACCCAGTTGAATTATAAGGTGCAGTTGCCATTTTTCCTTTTTTTAAACAATTAATTATATTCAATATTAGCAGTTTTAATCTTTCATCACTGTAGCATTTTTTTTCCACATGCACTGCATAAGATTTGTAACAAGAAGATGTAAATGATTAGGACTAACATGGCATTACTGGCGGTGGTGGCTGACAAAGCTGTTGTTGAAACTACTCCACACTTGGCACATTTGAGCGTCAAACCGCTATGAGGCTCACTCATCTGACTGCAAACAAACAGAACACCCACAAAAAAGAACAAAATATTGAATTTTTGGTCACTGCTGAAATTTAGTTTTTCAAATATGATGTCATGCAAGAAAAAAAAAATAGCAAGTCGACTTATTCAGGATGAAACACTCTGATTGATTTTAAGCCTATATAAAAACCATACATTTAAAAAATTTACACGTCATAAACATGTTAATTCTATTGGGGGAGGGAAAGGCTTCATTTTATCTAAGGTCTAATTCTTCCATTTGATAATGTTTGAAGCCTGTCCGGTCCCAATCATCATGGAAAACTGTTCTATTGATCACACTGAAGGAAACATGCATGTGGTAGGTTAAGACAAACAACAAAATGGTCCCTCTAATCAGACCTTTTGGAAGAATAAGAATTTGCTCTTAACAAAGTAATGGAGCAGATTGAGAGGGCAAAAATACATTACACATATATTTACTGAAATTGGAACATGCCCCTGAATTAGTACAGTTCTGTCAATCTATCATGGGAATGTATGAAACAGTTTCCCCTCTTAAGTTTCCACTGAATTTAAGTTCATGCTGGTCTGAATAGAGTTTGAAATGAATGAAATTTAATGAAAGTGTTAATTCAGGCTAGAAATTTAATAAAACACAGTACACAAGCATTAAAATTAACATATATTTATACAGATACTGATACAGATTCTATATTGCAACACCTAGCAGCTGCTTCTGTCTATTTTCACTGGTTTTATGACAAATTCATTATTTGGCTATTTTCATCCTTCCATTCATCTTAATTTATTTCTATGATGGAAGTTTTTTTTTTTAAAAAAAAACCAGCTAAAGTAGTTATTATTACATACTGAAGACAAAAGAAGAACATTAAAAAAAACTTCAACTGACTTGTAAAATAGTGCACTTTCCAATCTCTTTAGTTATAGTAATTTATAGTTTTATTTTAAAGCCGTAGGATGAAAGTATATAAAAAGGTTCTTCTGAAGCAGAAGGTACAATTTTTTTTAAAAAACAAACAAACAATGCATCTCTTATTTCTAGAACAAATCATACAAATAAAGAGAGCACACAAATGAAGTGGAAAATATTCAGATTTTCATTTGTTTTGTACACATAAACATGGTTTGGGAAATGATAATTTTTTACAATGGTAATTTTTATTTTTAGGTTTGTTTTTGTTCAAAGCTGCATAAAAGCATATATAAGACAAAAAAATAAAAATTGTCTGTACAGAATATGGAACATGATGTTGTAGACTAAATATTTTTGCACTGTGATATGTTGAAAATTGATAATATCAATGTTAATAATTTCAATAATTTGATATCACTAACTCATACTTCTCAACTTACAAGCGAATGAAACCTATCTGTATACAAATTCTGTTTCTTTTCAAAAAAATTCAGTGTGGTTCACAGCTTTAAAATGTGCACAAAACGAGCATGTGTGTGTGTGTGTTTTTTCCCTTAGTGAATATAACAAATTGTACATTAAAAAAAATGCAAACAAAAATAGATTCAAAAAGATTGGGATATTGTTGCATTGTTTTATTCTCTGTTGTAAGCCGCTCAGAGTCCCTTGGGAGTGGGGCGGCATAGAAATGCGATAAAATAAAAATAATAAATAAATAAGCAAAATATATTTATCAAGAATTTTTGAAATGTTTGCAAAATTTTCAAACTCATATACAATTTTCAAAAGAAATGTATGGCTGGGAAAATAAAAATGGGAGAAGAATTATAATGATAATGAACATTTGTTCCCCTTCTTACTATTATAGACAATCCTGCTTGCTACAGGAGCATTGATCAAGTGATGCAAAAGAGAAGGTGACTGTATGGAAGCCCATGAAGGTAGAGTTTGTCAACTTCAGAATATTTTGAAGTTTAACCATTTCTCAATTTGATGAGAGGAAAACCCCTGTAAAATCTCTCTTCAGTAATTGAAAAATAGAACATGTAAGAATAATATAAAAATGTATTACAGCATTACCACTGTCCTGTTCTTTTTCTTATGCTGATGGTAAAATTCTGAAAGAGAGGTAAAATGCTTTCTAACCAACAGAGATGAATGTGGAGAGTATATAGCCATGATGGCGAACCTATGGCACGTGTGCCACAGGTGGCACAAAGAGCCCTCTCTGCGGGCATGCGAGCCCTCCACCGCAGCTCAGCACTACCTCAGCTCAGCTCCACCGCATGTGCCTCCCACCAGCCAGCTGCTTTTCAGGTCTCTGCCGTGCATGCGCAGGAGGTGGGGCGCATGTAGGAGTTGTGTGTGCATGTGTGGGGATTGCGCACGCATGTGCGGGGGTAATGCATGCATGTGTGTGGGAGTGTGGCAGAGGTGGGTTTCAGTAGGATCTGACCAGTTCTGGAGAACCGGTAGTAAAAATTCTGACTGGCCCCACACCCATTTATTCTCTGCCTCCTGAATCCCAGCTGATCAGGAGGAAATGGGGATTTTGCAGTAATCTTCCCCTGGAGTGGGGAGGGAATGGAAATTTTACAGTATCCTTCCCCTGCTATGCCCACCAAACCATGCCCACCAAGCCATGCCACACCCACCAAGCCATACCCACAGAACCGGTAGTAAAAAAATTTGAAACCCACCACTGGAGTGTGGGGAGGTCACACAAGCATGCACGGGGGATGGGGGAGCACAGGGGTGGGGCACATGTGGGGGGGGGGTCATGCACGCATTGCATTATGGGTGTGGGCGACTGGCCCAAAGTCACCCAGCTGGTTTTCATGGTAAAGATAGGACTTGAATTCACATTCTCCTACTTTTTAGTCTGGTGCCTTAACCACTAGAGCAAATCGGACACTTTCCTACTTTGTAATTTGAAATCCTATATTCAGTGCACTCAGGTGGTAACTTCCATAGTTACACCTTGCAGACTTTAACATTAGGCGTGTGAGTGTATTTGTGTGTCTGTTTACTTATGGAGAATAAAACCCACTTCTCCAAAACCTTGAACTACTATCCTCATTTGGCAGACTGAAATGCAAACAAATTGTAAAACAATTATCATGTGGCAGTTTTACCGTGTTTTCCTGAAAATAAGACCCTGTCTTATATTTTTTTGAACCCCGAAATAAGCGCTTGGCCTTATTTTTGGGGATGTCTTATTGTTTTGGGGCATGTGGAGCAAGACGGGGCTCTTGTCGTCTTACCTGATTTCCAGCTCTGTCTCCCTAACCCTAACCAGAGGAAATGGCGGGGACCGGATGCACATGCGTTTAAATATTTCCAGGGAGGGTTTATTTGGGGGGGGGTTATTTTAGCGCATGCGCTCAAAAGCCCGATTGGGCTTATTATTAGGGGATGTCTTATTTTTGGGGAAACAGGGTATTAGAAGGCTATGAAAGACTGGCTGGATTCACAAACTATTTTATCAGATTAATAAATATTCTTTAAAAAATGCAACTATATCAAATGAAGCATTCCTAACCAAAACATCTCATAGTAGGATCCAGCCAAAGTTAATTCTTTTTGAGGGAGTTATCTGATAAAGATGATAAATATTGCTCATCAAGTATTTTGAGAAAAAAAGGAGCAGAGATGATGAAGCTAGTGCCTAGCCCCTTCAGAACAAGTGATTGACAGTAATCTGGCTTCTTGCTCTACTCATTTGTATGTCTAGTTCTTGTATTGACAAGGTAACTTGCATGGTAGCCTACTCCTGAAAACATATACTCCCAAATTAAATTTGGGTTAACAGGCTTAATTTTGACTGGATAAAACTTGTTTTATGCAGCAGTGCATTAATGGACTGGTGATACTCAAAAACCTTTCAGATAGAAAAAGTCTAAAGGAAATCACAAAAATGGGACCTAGCATTATAAACTTTTATCAATTACACCAGAGAAAAATCCAAAATCCAAAAGAACAACATGCACATAGTCACACACACGAAGTTTGACATTGATTCAAATTCATCACATCTGAGCTCAGCCCAGTGGGGGAAAAAATAGGTCAACCCATTCTTCTTAATAGGAAAGGAAGGCTGCAATAACTTTCTTGTGAGAAAGCTTTTGAGTAGATATGCCCAAAAAAAAAAAAACCATTATGGGTGGAAATCTTTTTGATATAGAAAGCCTGACTTGGGTATATTAACCACATCTTCTAGTGATTTGTGTGTAAAGAAAAGCTTTGGCTTAAATGCATAGATTCGAAATTGGTAAATGCAGGTGGGAGAGTCATTTTTCATTACTCTTTTTGCCCCTGAAGCTTTCTGTCTATTTTGGAACAATAAAAGAATGGGAAGTGGGGTGGTGGTGGAGAAAGCAAATTGACGAAATTTCCTCACTATTATCTCATGTGAATGAAAATCTCTGAAAAACGCAGACTCATCCTTCCACTTAAGTGCTAAGAGCACAGAATCCCACCGAGGAAGGAAGAGAAGAATGAAACAGAATGAGGGAATGTAGAAATGAGATGACTCAAATTTAGACTAATAATATTTTCCTCATTTCTCTAAGAACAAATACTGGGACTAGAACTAGCACTGATGATACCTAGTTTGGGTAATGAAACATCTGCAAGAAAACAACCAAGCTCAGAGAATACCAAGGACCCCTGAGAATAAATATAAGTTTTTATATTCATATAACAGACTTTTGAATCCCAATGTCACTTGCACCTTGGAGATGCAATATCTGCAGAAAACAAGAGACACTAATACTTAGCTTGCTTGCTTGGTAGTATGTCTAATTCTTCTTGATTCATAACCCATAAGTAATCACACAAATGGCCCAGTTCTAATACTTTTAAATCTTAGAATGCTTCCGGCTTTTCTAAAAATAGATTCCACCCCCCTACTAATCAAAATTATATAATTCTAAATACTCAACTTGTACAGAACTAAGGAAATTTTCAAAACGTGGACATTGATTCACCACCTCCTTTTTTTAAAAACTTAATACAACTGTACTTGTGTTTTATTATTTTTCTTACTATTATTCAGTCACATTTCCTCAGGAAAAATAAGGTAACTGCAATTTGGAGATGAACAGAACTGGAAGTTAAATTAAGAGAAAAAGGCTCAATGTGAAATTAAATAAAAATACATGTGGTGAATCTAACAATAGATAGACAGAATTTAGTAATACATCATTGATACACTCCAATTTTTGCTTACCCTGCTCTGTGTTTGAGTTTTTTATCTAGGATTCCATCTCTGGAAACTAGTTTATTAAACACAAGGATGCCAATCACCATGTTGACCTGTTAAATATGAAACAAACAAACAAACAAAAAAGTAACAGTTGCCCCTTTAATGACACTGAATGAAATATGAACCTTAATACATTTGGTATTAATTTAAAGAAATAGGAACAGCAATTTAGATCCTATATCTCAGCATCTGTGACTCTTACAAAGTAAAGGGACTCAAGGATTGCATTCTAGAGAGAACTAGATATTCCAGAAAGATGCCATGCCCTCTAAGTCAGCCAATAAATATGATCCTTGCCTGTAGTATCCAAGATAAACCTGGATATGTATAGTCCTTAGTGGTATTCTCCTATTAGTATTTGATATAAACGGGTACACACATACTATAACACATATACAGAAATATAACTTTAAGACATGGAGCACTGTAGAATTCTGCTTATCTGTTTTGCACTGGTAGGTTCAGACTGGACAACGAACTAGAATTATAATATAATTTTATGGGAACAGGATAGGAAGGATCACAGTTCACATGTTTTACATGCAAAAAGGGGAAATGCTCAGTCTTGAATATCTCCAGATTCTAGGAGCAAATGGGATAATAACATTATAATTCTACTGGGAATACAATTTTTGAATAAGATTAAATTCATTAAATCTGCAAACCTATGCACATACAAAGATTACCTGGAAAGCGAATCCTGTTTAATTCTGATTTACTTTTATTTAGACAAATACAGAATCACACTGTTAATTGGCGTTTATCTACTTAGTAAGAGTTTAGAGCATAAATGGAAAATCATAGATCCCAGGGTTTCAAGTGTTTTGCATGCCCTTGAAACCTCTCTCTCTGCAAAAGTCAAAAATTGCTGGCAGTTTCCTGTGATTTAAGGCAAGAAATACATAGAAATTGTAGGCCACATTCTAAAATAAGCTAATATACTTTAAATAATTCATGCATGTCTCTGAACAAAGGAAAAACAATAAATTCTGGTTCCATATGTGTATCTGACATGATTCTAGCCATTTGGGTCATCAAATCACCCACTGATACTATGTGTCAGTTGCTTGCCCTAATCTAGAGGAATTATAAAGGAAAGATGGATTTATAACAACATTCTTACAATAATTAATTAGGTAAAGCAGAGTTTAGCTCAAGATCTCATCTAATCCATTTCACAGTTAATGGTGATTTGTTAAGAGAACCCTGGCTAATTGAGATATATATTACATTTAAGATGCAAGCTTGATTATCAAGGAGTTCAGAAGTCTAATTTTAATTTTTAAACCAATATAGTTTATTGAGTTACTGAGGGGTTTTTGTTTTGTTTTGTCATCATAGATCAGTAATTCTCATGAACCTTCTTCTGAGTTATATTAAGTTATTCTTCCAAAGATATATTGTTTATGAAAACCTTCCAGTACATTTCCAATACATTTCAGCGTATCCAAACATCACAATCAATCTGTTTTGGACTGACCATTAAATTTAATACTGTGCAGCTACGTTCTAACTGGACCTTATCTCATAAAAATTTCATTAATTCAGCTGGGATACATAAAGATCTCAATAATTTAGAAATCTAAAATCTTTGAAAATTCACGGGTGCTCATAAAGTTTGCAGCTCCTGCTTTGCACAACGTTCTGAGCCAGTTGCAGGACTGAGATGCTGACACTTCACACTCCTTGCCACATTACAGTTTTATACACAGGAGACTGTGTCAATGACAAAAGTAACACCCTTATTTAAGAGTGTGATATTTTTACTTTGGCTTTACACTAAGAGTCTATCCATGTTCTTTGTTTGTATAAGCTTTTGTACAACTGTGAAAGGAAGAAAATTATGTTTAAATTTTTACTGTCTAGTGAAAATAATCTGATGGCCATAATAAATGTATAATCATTGGATATCTTGATAACATCATGTAGGATTTAAAACATCAATATAGTCTATATAGTAGGATCTTTGAAATGAAGTCATGTAGTTTGAAAAAGAGAGAGAGAAAATTAACACATTTACAGGACTATCCTGTGTAACCCCTTCTTCTTCTAATATTTGGATGGTTCCAATCCTCTACTCACTGCCACTGATCCAATAAATAAGGTAAAATTAAAGAGGATGGTTTAAAGATCAGATAAGATGGTAGAAGACGGATGTGGAAAAATGTGCTTTTATTCTGGACATGTCCATTTTTTGTTTTAGCACACCTACTTTCCCCTTAGCTCACCATAGGAAACCTCTCCCACATGCCACAAGGTCCAGCCCCATAGAATGCACAATCTGGCTTTATCATAACCTGGAACTAGATATTACCACTGATTTTAGAGGCAACTATGACTCTCAATAGTGGTGGGAAGGGAAGAGTCCTAATTTTGGATTTCCCTTGACATCTGTTTGGTCATTTTGAGAACCATAAACTTTATCATGATTAAGATATCTTCAATGTAGCTTCTAATATTCTACAATATATACACATCTCTATCGAATCTAGACATATTAAATTAAGTTGTGCCAGCAGATAAGGTGTGAGAAAGAGAAGAAAGGGCAATGGGTTTAGGACACAACTACAAGAATGGATTTATCTATCTATCTATCTATCTATCTATCTATCTATCTATCTATCTATCTATCACAGCTATAAATGTGTTGTTTGGCATGGCAAGTTCTTACTTTAGGTTCAAGTTGGGCTGCAAATCTAAGCCTCTCTCCTAGAGAGGAAGCCCCATTAAATCCAGTGAGAGGACTTTTGGATAAATATGCTTGAGATGATCTTGCCAAGCTAACATTCTCCTTTTGTTGCCAGCCTAACATACGTAACTGATACCCAAAGAAGTGATAGTTGGGCATCCCATTAAAAACCCTGGCTGCAGAGGGCTTGACTATTACTCTTTTCCTGCATCTCTGCCAAGAGAAGATATAACCTGAACATGGATGAGAGATGTCAAGGAAGCTCCATCTTTAGGTGGAGTCCAGTGATGGAATGTCAGCAGTACTATTTTGTCAGCTAAATTCAAACAGCATTTTGACATAATCCTGAAATGACTACGGCGTAAGGTGTACTCACACAAACAGTTACTCACCATTTTGCTCTGTGTACTTGGAGATTTAAGCACATGAAAACTAGGTGATTTTGCTGAGATAGCTGTCACCTTTTCACAGACTGCTATTTGTGCTCAGACTGCTCTTTGCTCAAGAATGGCTGAAACTCTCTCTGTGCATTGAATTGCTTCATAATAAGCCTCTTATTTACAGCTGTATATACGCTAACACAACAGTGTGAAGCAAATGACTATTGTTTGAATAAATTGACCTCTGGCCTCCATTCCAGATGGAATGAGCAAACCTTGTTTGTTTGATTGAATCTGGAGGACAAGAATAGTTTAATAGATTGACTCATTATCAAGTTTTTGTGTCATGAACAAAATAAAATAGAAGTTTTTTTCACTAATTAAAAGTGCAAGGCTCCTATTCAAAAGTGGCTAGTTCAGAGTTCATCTCTCTTATTCCCATGATGACAGAAGATTATGGAATTTCTAGTCTAATAGTTTTGGGGGGCACCTTACTGAAGAAAGACGTTCTGAAAGGTATGGGCAGAAATTTATTAAGGTGGGAATGTTTGTTTTTGTAATTAAAGTCTTTGGTATAAACACAAGGTAGTTTCATAATACAAGAAATAAATCATACTTGTATTCTAAGTATTCTAATATTCTTTATAGATTTTAATCTCATACAGAAAAAATAGTACACAATCCTATTTCACAAATAAAACTGCACACATGCAAACATTACAAAGTATGTTACAAATGTATACAGTACATTTTTCTGTTTTTCTTTTTTCTAACTGTTCATCTATTTATGATTATTAAAAATGTCAGAAATATTTACCAGGACAACAGCAGCTGCAGGTCCAACAAAAGCATAGAGAAGTCCACCTTCAAGAGATAGCCAGCAACTGGAAATGTTAAAAAAGAACTAATATAAATTAATAAGGTGTAGCATCTGTATGTTTATCCAGTGCAAAGCTTCACTGATTCCCTCTTTGCTAGATTTCAAGGTGCTTTCATCAAATATAGCAAGTATTATTTATTATATTTTCAGGCCAGCACATCTTAAAACAGTAATTTTTTTAAAAAAATAATCCATTTTCACCACTCTTTTTAGAAATACGGAATATACAGAATTTCATTTATAAGAGAGACATACACTGTAGCAAATGATAAGGTGTGGCACAGAAGAGAAAGCTTGCTGAACTGTATATAACCTAAATAAATCTCTGGTTCATAGTATAATTGTTCCAGAATCATGTTTAACATTTTTAAAATTGACTAAAGCAGCAGCAGTCAGGAATGTATTCAGTCTTGGAAAAAATGCAATTCACTTACAACTTCAGTCACTTTTGAGATCAGTCTTGGGTTGTCTTGTGAATATAACCATGCAATTTCACAGAAGTAATTTCCCACTGCCTTCTTCCAGGATGTGTTTTCAACTTTCCAACTTTCTTGGTGGGCTCCTTTCCAAGTACTAACGAGATCTGCATTCAGGTTCAACTAAACCAGGCTAAATGCTGCCATACAGTTCATCCCAAACAACCATAGAATTTATATTGTTACAAAATACTGTTGGCATGTCTTAAGAAATCTGGGGCATTGTTTTATTTTATGTGGAATAATTATATTTGAAGAAAAAATAACCCATGTCATGGATTTGCACTCATTGTCTTTTTTTTTTTAATTGCCCTTATTTTTATTAAACAGTTTTTGAGGTATTACAGTTTGAAGAAAATATTGGTTTTCTTTAAAGAAGCTTTTATAAGCATAGGATGGGCAGGTTTTAAAAACAGCCTTTAAAATTCCTTTTCTAGTGCTAATCCTCCATATATTAAAATATCTTTTAAGGGTTTCAACTAATGAAGACTTTAAAACAGTGTTTCTCAACTTTGGCAGCTCTAAGATGTACAGACTTCAACTTCCCATGCTGGCTGGGGAATTCTGGGAGTTGAAGTCCTCACAACTTAGAATTACCAAGGTTGGGAAACACTGAGGAGAATAACCACAAGGAAAAGGCAGGCCACACAAACTGATCTGGTTCCTTCTTTTTTTTTACCCCGCAATCCTTTCCAATCTTTCCCTTGATCCACTGAAACAAGGATTGTATTGCTGGGAAATTGAAAGATGTAGTTCCAGTGCAAGATTCATTCACTTGTTTGGGATAATTCCCCACCTCTTTTACTGCAGTGCATTTGGAGGAGGGAACAATATTGAGGCCAAAAACAAAGGAAGAGAAAGTTCAATTGTGTTTCATTTCCAAAGAACAAGGGATACAATCTTAAATACATTTGGTAAGTTAACAGCAAACCTATCCATGTTTGCTCAGAAAGCTCCCTGCATTCGCTCAGTTGTTATCCCGGAAAGGTATATCTGAAATATAAGGCTGTAGCCTTGAATTTATTCCATATAAATATTTAAATAGCTCTTTGATGATAATTTACAATTCAGAACACTTCCTGACTTAAGACACCAAGGCATTAAATTAAAGTTATTAATGTGATGAAATCAGGCTAGTGAGTTCCGCAGAGCGCATGTACGACTCTTCACAAAATAAGGAGCTGTTAATCCCTTTAAACTGAATGGCCTTTAGAGAGAAACTGCATCTCCCCCATACTTTAGGAATTGTCATTCTTTCATTTAGTGGATGCAAATGTAGTGAGGATCAAGTCATTTTTCATCTCTGGCAGGAGTGGATGAACTAAGGTCACTTCCCTCCATATCTCTCTCCCTCTCCCTCTCCCTCTCTCTCTCTCTCTCTCTCTCCACACCCTTCCTTCCTTCCTTCCTTCCTTCCTTCCTTCCTTCCTTCCTTCCTTCCTTCCTTCCTTCCCTCCCTCCTTCCCTCCCTCCCTCCCTTCCTTTCGAACAAGTCAACCAACTCTGCTTGGTGTCCAATCTAAAAGCTCAGTATAAAACATAATCTCTAATACACCACTCAATTTCCCACCCCAGACAAACCCAATGTGAAAAAAACTGTCTAAACAGTCACTATCCAATTGCAGTACATATCAAGCACCTGTTTTAAAAGAAGTTTACTCATTGCCTTCTGGAATGCTAGGACTATATATAGTTCCCAGCCTAATTTCAAAATCGTTTTAGAAAAAGTCAGTTCCAGCCTCTGATAGAAGCTGTTCCTCCCTTCTCTGTAACTTGATCCTTTGAAGAAAGGCAGAGAAAGCTGTCAGAAAGACAGTTAAAAAGAGTTGTTGTGATCCTGCTTCTTGCTTTAGCTCTATCCACCCACCTAACAGATTAGCCCTGAAGAAATGATTCAGCCGTCAATTAAAAAGTAAAAAAAAATTTTTTTTGACCAGAATTGATATAAGGTAGAGTCTTGACAAGCTCCTGATCCTTTACCAAAACCCAGAACATGAATAAATATCCAGATAAGTGCTGTTTTCATCCAAGGCTACAGAAGCTGATGTGGATGTTTATTCATCAGTGGCTTCTAATGCTTTCAGTCTTAACTTCATCTATATTTGATAGGGTACTGGAATGAGTCCTCTTTCCATATTCACAATTATCTTTGCTCTGAGTGCAAAGGGACCAAAATGTTCCATTTATAGTTTTCATAACAGTCAAGCCTTTTCCCTTCCACCCCAAACCTGTAAAACAACAAGACAGGAAGAAACAAATGCTACACCAGTTACACAATGATTTACTCTTGCCTTTTTTGGTCTCTCACATTAGGTTATTTGATGTAGTTCGGTTGGTTTTTGCTTTGTTTGTTGTGTAAGTCTACCCACTGGGGTTTGAAAATCAAGATGTAATGCTCAAAATGTAATGTCCAACCAACAATATTTCAAGAAACCATGATTAACAAAGACAACAACTTATTATATGGTGTTGTTTCAGTGCATGTATCTTTTTCTTTATGGTTATTCAAATTGAGCTGCCAGGCAAGGACAGGAATAATGAAAGAAGCAGCTACTCATTCTATGACTTGTTGCCCATGAAGGTAAAAACATATCAAATTCTACAGAGAGCAGTTGACTATGTACCATTGTTTCTTCCTCCCTCAGAGAACTGGGGAACCAGGGACTACTTTTAAAGACCCTCAGTGTCAATCCTAAATCTGGATACAGTCAAATAGCCAAATGCAGGCAATGTGATAAACAGGAATATAGGAGCTCTCCTTGAAAATAAGATATATTATGATAGAATGACTTACTATTGAGTGGTTCCATAGCCTTTAGTCTTGGTAAAACCTATTGATATGGCCACGACCAATGCTGGTAAACCTGCAAGAAAAACTCCAGTGTTATTTCTCTGTGTACATAATGATCTACACATCTAAAGGCTATCCTGCTAGACATCTCATACCCATATGGTGCCCCAAAACCTGCGGTTGGAGGTTTTCATACAATGAAACTTAGGCATACTGTTTCTCTGTTCATATCCCTTTTGTTTCTTATGTTTATTTACCATGTCCCAGGAAAAAAAAAAACATTTCCACCATTTTTTTCTAAGGCCATATTGCTCTTGTTGCTGAAAAAGAAAAAAGTGAGCAAAAAAAGCCCTAAAATGGGATATTTTAAATAATATATAAAGAAGAGTATTCAGTATTATGAGTCAGGTGATAGAAAGACTTCGGTATACAGCTAATTTATTGCATCGGGTCATTACAATGCCTATCTATACCCAGAAGACAAGCAACTACAGCTTGGGAGACTATGCGATCGATTCTGAAGAAGTGGTTTTTGGAAGTCATGACAATACAAGGGCAGCCTTTCTCAGCTATTACTTAAATAATTAAAATGTCTGGAAACCTTACAGAGCTAGTAATTATTCTCAGCTCATTGATTTGTTCCCTATTTGGTTCCTATCTGTACTCTATTCTGGTGTGCAAATGGTGTTACCTGGGCCAGAAACCTCTTTCTTTGAGCTGTTTGGTTGCCTTAATGTCCATACGGTTTTTGGCTTTCAGGACATAGTTATAATGGGTAAATAATTTCACCACTGTAAGATAAATAAGGTTGGATAAGGTTACCAGGGGTGGGCTAAAAGAACTGAATGCAATGCATTCAAATTGACTCTACCTCTTTGCTGCTATCTAATTTTAATCTGGATTTTTGCATCCCTCATCTGGTAGCTCTAAGAATAAGTGACCTCCAGCTACAGTTTTACTGTGGCTATGACTAGAATTTCTACAGAAGGGGTTACTCGTGAGAATCACAGTGCTTATTGCTTTTCATGCTTGGATGAGAAAAGCATGCTTTATGATATAAATTATATGGAAAGAATATTTTCACCAGCAATAACTCAAGTATATCCTTCAGCTACCATTAACTTGTCAACTACTCCTGTTATCCTATCCTGCATTGTGACCAATCCCATCAGTAAATCACCAAAGCATTTGATATAGTATATAACAAAGATACAGCATAAAAATGGATTGGTATTAATCACAGGCACAGTTATGCTTTGAAAAGTCTATATATTACCATCTTTACAGAAAATCTTCTAAAGACGTTAAGTTATAGTATGATAAACTTTAGTAAACTATGGAAAATTCATTACCAGCTAGACCTGGAAGCAAATCAATGGAATTAAATAATATGCTTGCTTGCTATTCTATCAATATTCCAGTATTGATATTCAGTATAGGAACAGTACAATCTCCTTCTACCTGCCAAGATTCTTGAAACAAGCATTCATATTCCAAAGGTTATTCATGCAAAAACACTAAGCTGAAAAAGAAAAATCTCAGCTGAATAACAGGAGCTCACCCCATCCAAGGCATAAAAAGCGCTTCCTTATGAGCCGTGTCCTAATTTTTCCAGTGACAGCCATGTATGACTGCCACGCTTCGGTCAAAACCCAACAAAAGGAAGCTAAGAAGAAGAAATGTAAAAATGCAGTGGTCGTGGTACAAATGTTCTGTAGACAAAGAAAAAAGAATTGTAGTGAAGGCTCAGAGAGAATAATTAAAAGTTACATTCCATTAGTCTGGCTTCTGCTTTCTTTAAACCAGAGATAGATAACACATAATACTGAAGGTATTTTCATACAGATCTATAGCCAAAATACTGTATTTGTTTTGGCCCATAGTAGCCATACTCTTACGGTAGGAAAATGAAAATGCAGCAGTTGTTAATGAAGGAACAAAATTAACATGTTTTTAATTCTGATATTTTTCAAATGGGGACTTGGAGAAAGTGATGGAGTGGGAAGAGGATCTCTAAAACTTTAAAAATGGAATATTATGCATAGTCCCAGATTGAATTTCATGGGATAATAAGTTGCCAAATTCCTTCCCCCTGAAACATCATGTCTTAATAAGTGAAAATTGCAAGCAAGTGAGAGTTTAGATGGTGGAAGGCCTTAGAAATTTCCCCTCAAAATGGAATGAGGTGCGAGTTAGTTCTGGTAGCAGTGGAATAGATAAGGCACCTGTCAACTGGCTCACGTTTGTCTGGGAACAATAGCACACACCTTTCGTGCCCACTTTTTGACAAATAGTATCCACATTTGGGGTCTGTGTTAGCCAATTAACTTGTAGTTATTAGTGTTGACATGATTTTCTGATTGTAATCCTTTAAGACTCATAGCCTTAGAACAAATCCCTGCCCTCACTGTGAAATTAAAGTCATAAGTGCCCTTTTTTTCTGCAGCTATTAAGACACATGCGACTTCTGCGTTAATTGGAATGCACTCCAGGTTCAACAAACCCCGAATTCCCTGGAACATCAAGACTATCTGCCTGTCTGTCTGTCTTCCCCCTATGTGGAAGAAGTCAATCTCAGATTGAAACTCCCCAATTCCAAGATCCAGGCCCAGGGAAAGAGAGCACATTGCCAACCATCCATCTGGAGCACAAACTTGCAGTGTCACATGACGTTTCACAACTTTTTCCCCTTTGTGGAGCTGGGATAGGTGTGGCCTGCATGTGGCGCATCTGGCCGCAGACCGCCAGTTTGACACCTTTGATCTATTTCCATTGCCCAGAGAATGTGTGGAACAGCTCTGCCTGTTTCAAGATTGCAGCCAAAACAGATGCTGTGTCTCTCTTCCTTTGCTCTTTGAAAGAACACTGCGTTGCCACTTTTATCTGAGAGAAGTATGTTCATGATTGCCTTACGAATAAGCACCTGGCTTTGCATCTTGTAACTATTCAAGGATTTGAGTGGGCCTTGTATGAGCTGAAACTCCCTCTTTTGACTTCAGTTGGCCTAATATTAAGTCATGCAGCAAGTAATGCGACAGAACAGAATGTCAGCTAACAATTCTTTTTATGACAATATATTTCAAGTGTAAACTTTGGGGGAAACATAAACCTTCTTGCTTTAGATTGATTTTGATATACATTTTAAAGAATCTCAAAGCCTAGAGATCTTTTTGGTATTTAGCTATTGTCTGTCTGTCTATCTATCTAGTCTAAGCAATGCAAAAAGAAATATTTATGAAATAATGACTCTATGCATGTCAAGTGCTTGTCATTTGACAGCCTTTCAACCAAGAGACAAAAGATTTTCTCAGCTATAATTTTGGCTTAATCAAACTACGGTTTGCATAAGTGAGAAGGATCTTTCCACAGAAATAATCCAAGAATATTAAGTGCCAAAATACATTCCCAATTTTTTTTATTTGTCTGATGTATGGATGGGCTTATTTGTGAGTGTGTACAGTAATATTTTTAAAAGTATCCTTATATCTCATATATACTCATGTATAAGTCCATTTGCAGATAAGCCTCAACGTTTAACCAAAATACCATGAAAATGGAAAATCCATGGATTACCCACAAATAAGTCAATTGTGAAAATTAAAATATATGGAAATTTCAAACATTGTCTTATCTTTCATAGTATTTTGGTTAAAAATGTGCAGGTTGGGTGAATCGGCTTATATATTTCCATACTTAGCACACAGTACAGAATCCCTATGCAGAATCTGTTATAGCATGGGAAGTCTGTTTTATGTTACAACATAGAAATCTGTTATTAGAAATTGATCATGCACTGCTGATCAGAATCAGAATCTGTTAGTAGAATCTGTTCATGTACTGCTTCCAAGGCAAATCAGTTACCTGCAATATGAGGATGCACTTAAAATGGTAAAGATATTCAATTTTTTTTTTCGTGGATGCAAAGAGAGAGAGAGATGTTTGAATGCCACAATTTAGCATAGGATGTTGAAAAGCCCAGGCCTTGTGCATCAACATGCATTTCCTGGCAAAGTAACATTCTCTTTCTGCTTAGAATACTACAGTCAGTGACACCAACTGAATCAAACAAAACTGTGGCTGAATTGGTAAAAACAAACCATATTTATAGAGGTATCTGCAAAAAAATTCAAGATGGTGTCCACAAAGGAGTGATCCAAGCTTGGCCTGTTTCTTATGCATGTAGCACCATCTTCAGTTTTTTGACCATGGTTATGAACACCTTTGTGTGCCCCAATTATGTGTACTATTATGGTTTGCATTATAGAACTATTTATCATTCCAGCAAATTATTGCCAGTATTAGCAACACTGTAATTTGCACAATATATTAACTTAAGGGTCACTGAAATCAAAATAAAATATTTCCAAATTGCTGGCTTCAGTAGGAAAAAGTCAAGGGAACATGTCAATGCAAGATTGGGCACCCATAGTATGGGTGACTTAGATACTCTTGTAGCCTGGCATTGTGCTAGGAGTTTGTTATGCATTCAGAGACAAAACAGTTCTTGACAATTTGTTCATTTTTTTAAATAAAAAAGACAAGCATTTCTCCAATCTTTCATTTTCCGCAGTCCCAAATCAGCTTCAGATCTAATTATATCATGAAGTGCTACTTGACTTCCTAAGCTCAAGTGCAAAAAGTGATGAATCTGCAAACAGCACAGGTGTAAGACCATGCCTTCACACCATGTACCCAGAAAATCTAGCAATGCATATTAAATATAAAATACTCATAAAAATTACAAATGCATTTTAATATTATTCATACAGACACATTCAGGCACAGGCACACATTTTTATTCAAATGATGTAAGAAAGGTTGCAGCAAGGCAATACATAAAAGGAGTCAATTTTAGAATTGTTTAAGAACTAAGCTTTAAAAGAAAACAAATTGTTTTTCTGATGGGATAATGGTGATGATCCTGAAAATCATAAGGAAGTAGCAAAGTAGTTTGGAGTGTGATGTGTCGTCTCCAAGATGTTAACAGAATAACAGGGATGGAAAGGATCTTGAAGCTCCTGCTCAAGCAGGAAACCCTATACCATTTCAGACAAATGATTGTCCAATCTCTTCTTAAAAACCTCCAGTGTTGAAGCACCCACAACTTCTGGACTATGATTCATGTTGCTGAACCACAACTTTCAGAATCCTTCACTATCCATGATCCCAAGTGAGGTTGCTGGAAGTTGTAATTCAACAACTTCTGAATGGCCAGATGACCTGATGCAAGAAAAAAAAAGTCCATTGAAAATTCTGTTCTGCAATGCACTAGAACTCACAATCTTCTGGTTTTTAGGCCAGCACCTTAACCACTAAGCCAAACTCACTCACTCTCATAGTCAAAAGCTGACTTATTGACTATGTACAGTATCTTATTACAGAAATTTCCCATGGTGCTTTTTCTCAATTGTGTGTTTCACAATTGAACGAGCATCAGAGATGCTTTTCAATCTTGGCGACTCTAAGAGGGATGGATTTCAACTCCCAGAATTCCTCAGCCAGTATTGCTAACCGGGGAATTCTGGGAGTTGAAGTCCACCCCTCTCAAAGCTGCCAAGGTTGAGAGGCACTGCTGTAAAAAAACCAGAAAAGCTTTGGAGTAAGCATAAGTCATTCTCCCCCCCATACTTCTCCAACCACTGCTTTTAAAGTTGAGAGAAACACCTACTTTGCTGAAGTCATATTTATTACTGATGCTAGGCAGAAAAGAATCCTAGTATGTTTTTTTCCCTACCAGTCTCATTTAGATAAATGACAGAAAATCTGGCCTAGTGAATCACTGAAAATAAAGTATTTCAGACAAAATATCATGGAAGTCTTACACTAATTGAGTCACAAGGCAACCGAATGATCTGGGTGTGAGTTTCCTGCTTTTATTATTTGATCATCCCTCTACAATTGCCTCACTTCCATTAATATCAAGCGAAAGATTCTCTCTGGGGACCTTTTCATTAGCAATGTATCAGTCACTGCCAGGAGAACATCCTACTCTTTAAAAATTATCAGATTATATCTCCCTACACTCATTCACACTCACACAAACACAGACAGAAAGACACACACACACAAAAATTCAAGAAATTGTTTATATAGGTTTTCTTGCTCACAAATATAGAAGAAAATTTTGAAAGGCCTTTTGTGCCCAGCTATGATTACAGTGACAGACTAATTTGAGAATTCAGATTGAGGATTTTGCTTAATCTTTAGCATAGTCATTCTTTATACAACAGCTGCATCTTAATCCCCCTGAAATTAGGGACAGAATTCTTACTGAGTTTGACGATTAAGGATTTATGGCCAACCTCTTTCTGTAAATTCTGGGATTCAATGGCAGAGGAAAGGATCTGTTGCCCTCAATTTTCTAAGTGGATTATTTTCATTTACAGGGAGACTCAAGAATAAGAATAATGAAAGAACCAATATAGAGAAGTTATATTTGCATTGATCTTCAGAAATGGCCACGGAGTTATATTTCCCTTTACTGTTGCTAATTTTCAAGTTTAATTATTTTTTCATGGTAGCATATTGTGCTTTTTTTTGTGCTGTGCAATATAAAAATTTGCCCACATAAAGAAGAGACTTTGAAGAAGAAACAAACAAAAGTATCCATTCAATTATTACAGTTATTAAAGCTGTGAACCAATAAGATCCATTCAGATCAAACCCAGAAGGCAGCTACTTCTGAAAGCATAAAGGTGATGACTTAAAAAAA